GTTAAAAACAAAGACGGATTTTTCGGCCGTTTCACATTGTTTATTTTTTTCCATATTATTATTCATTCATTATTATAACAATTATTTAGAACAAATATTTAAAATATTTTGACTCAGACAAGAGAAAACGGACTGACACAGTTACAGTTAGCAGGTTGTGTTGGATAGTGTATAGAGGAAATTCGGGTAGGTGTGATTGTCATACATTAGTGCAGTTGAGAGTTTAGGTATACAGTGAATTTGAGTTTATATAGTGAATACAAAACCACATTTGTTCTCACATTAATCTCAAACATTAGAAATACAGAATCTGATCAGAAGTTTGTCTGTCATGGTGTCCACTTAGTTTAGTGTTAAGCTACTAACATCATTAGCTTCTGATACTTTCCATTAAAAAAAAAAAAAATATAAACATGGTTTAAAATCGTGTAACATTTTGTGTGTTTATTGCAAAATGTAAATTGTTTAAAACAATTTAAATCAAACAAGAGTTTATTGACAGTCAATCAACGCGTCGGTTTATTTGTTTCATCTGTCAGTTAGATGCGCGTCGGTTTCTTTGAGTTGTCATTTTTTACTTGCATGTTATACAATTGCAATTTTTGCATTGATTAGTCAAATATCTGCATGATTTGGTATTTATTATTTATTACCATTATGGCAGAGCTTACAGAGACAGAAATGTCTGATTTGTCGTCTACATTTCAGGCATTAGACATCAAGCCTGAATATAGTACTCCTGAAGAATTTAAAAACTGGGTTTTGAAATATGCTGAATCCTTAAAAAAGGAATTACCCAGTCCGTCTGTTCATGCTAGTCCTAGTATTGACCATGACCTTGCCCCTTCTAGTCCTAACCCATTCCTTGTCCCTCCCAGTCCTAACCCCTTTGCCAATGACCTTACCCCTCCCAAGCCTGGTCCATTTGCCCATGACCTTACCCTGACCACTTCCTCAACCCACATTCCCTTGAGTGGTGTCCCTAAAATATCAGGGTTTGCAGGTGACAAAAAGGGTGATGTTTTATACGATCAATGGAGATATGAGGTAAAGTGTTTACAAGCAAATGGTTTTTCAGAAAATATTATTTGTTTAGCAATCAGGAGATCATTGCGTTCTCCAGCAAGTAGAGTGCTTATGCGTCTAGGGCCTAATACAACAGTGGAGGAAATTTTAAACAAACTGGACAGTATTTATGGCATTGTTGAGGAAAAGGAAACATTGCTTGCCAACTTCTACAGTGCGAAGCAGGGAGAAAGTGAGGATATCTCAACATGGGGATGTAGACTGGAAGATTTATTGAGTAAAGCTGTCATGCGAGGGCAAGTAAAACAAGGTGATGAAAATGAAATGTTAAGAAACATGTTCTGGAATGGAATGAAGCCTAGTCTTAAAGATATATCAGGCCATTTACATGACAAGTATCTTGATTTTGATGAGTTACGAATGGCAATGAGAGTACTTGAGCAGGACAAAGAGAAAAGAACTGAATCTGAAAAACAGTCAAAGCCTCTACCATCAAAGAGAGTTACTGTGGAAAGAAAACAGGAGGATACAAATGATTTAAGATCTATAGTCAACAGACTATCAACAGAGTTAGAGGAGATGAAGAGAGAAAGGAGAAATGATCAGTACAGAGGCAGAGTAATGACAAGAGGAAATTACACTCCACGATACAGAGCTCCTAACAGATTCAGAGGTCAAACGTCTTACAGATTTCAGGCTCCTCAGATCCAGCAAAATACTAGTAATAGATTTCAGACTTCACAACACACAGCATCTGAGGAAGTTGTATGCTGGAGATGCGGTCAACAAGGTCACCTCCAAATTGGATGTAGAGTTAGAGTCGACCATTCAAGAGGAAATTTAAACGGATACCGACCTTCGGCAAGGGGCCGACGATAGGTCGAAGACTACAGAGCCCCATGTACCAGCCAAAATTAATTGGTGAATCAACTGAGACAGAAATTCTGATTTCACAGATTAAAGCTAAAGCCTTACTAGACACAGGATCAACTGTATCCACAATTTCAAAATCATTTTATGATAACAATCTGCAAGAAAATCCTATCCATCCAATACAAGATTTCATCAACATTGAGTGTGCAGATGGAAATTCTCTCTCTTACCTAGGGTATATTGAAATAGAAATCCAGCCTATAGGAATTCCCAGATGTCATCCTTTACCGTGCCTTTTCTTGATTATACCAGATTCAAATTACAGCAAAACAACTCCAATATTATTAGGAACCAACATCATCAATTTATTTCTCAACAACACACATCAACAGTATGGAGAGAAGTTCTTACAGGAAACAGCACTACAAACACCATGGTTTTTAGCTTTTAGAAGTTTACAGTTGAGAGAAAAAACACTGATGAAGCAGAATTTTAGATTAGCCATAGTAAAATCAGCTGAACAACAGACAATCACCATCCTTCCAAATAGTCAAGTAGTCATTAATGGGTATGCAGATAAGAAGATCCCATACCACACAACCTGTGCATTACTGCAATCAACAACATACTCCAGAATTCCAACTGATCTTGACATTGAACCTTCTGTGGTGAACTTCAACTTCAGAGAAAATCAAATCATACCAGTTAATATTAGCAACTTAACAACAAGAACAGTGACTGTTAATCCAAAGGCAATACTTTGTGAACTTCACCCAGTATCTATCATAGAACAGCCTCAACATCTACAACAGGAGGAGATAACTCATTTGCAGGAAGTGAAAATTTCTACTGACAACTTATCATCTAGTCAGATACAGGAAGTACATGAACTACTCAGAGATTACAAGGATATATTTTCAAAAGGCGAGACTGATATCGGGTTTAATGACACCATGAAGCACAGAATAGATTTATTAGATGAACAACCTTTCAAGCAGAGAACGAGGCGAATACCACCTGCTATGTTTGAAGAAATCAGAAACCATTTACAGATGCTGCTAAATTCCAACATCATAAGAAAATCAAGTTCACCATTCTCAAGTAATGTAGTAATAGTCAGAAAAAAGGACAACAAACTAAGAATGTGTGTAGATTATAGACAACTGAATCAAAGAACAAAGAAAGATGCCTATGCATTGCCACGGATTGAAGAAATTCTTAATGCACTTTCAGGAAATAAGTATTTCTCGGTTTTGGACATGAAGTCTGGCTACCACCAAGTTGAGATCTTAGAAGAACATAAAGAACGAACAGCTTTCACTGTGGGACCTCTCGGTTTTTATGAATTTAACAGACTTCCATTTGGACTATCAAACAGCCCAGCAACATACCAACGGTTGATGGAGAGCTGTCTAGGAGACCTGCATCTGAATATTTGTTTTATTTTTCTTGACGACTTGATCATTTTCTCGAGATCTTATGAAGAGCATATTCACAGATTACAACTAGTATTTGATAAACTTAGAGAATCAGGCCTGAAACTATCACCAAAGAAGTGCAACCTATTTATGAAGAAGGTTAAGTATGTAGGCCACATTGTTTCAGAAGAAGGCATAGAAACGGATCCAGAAAAGGTGCAAAAAGTCTTAGATTGGCCAACTCCTAGTACACCAGAAGAAATAAGAAAGTTTATTGGTTTCATTGGGTATTATAGGAGATTTATTCCAAATTTTAGTAAAATCTCAAAACCCTTGACAGAGATGATGCCAAAATCCAATATCAAAAAGGACAAGAAAGGAAAACATACAACAAAGGAATTCAAATGGGGAATAGAACAGAAAGAAGCCTTCCAACACCTTAAAAATCTTTTAACAGAACCTCCAATTCTTGGATTTGCAGATTACAACCTACCATTTGAATTGCACACAGATGCCAGCAAGTTAGGACTTGGAGCTGTGTTGTATCAGGAACAACAAGGAAGAAAAAGAGTTATCAGCTACGCAAGTCGCAGTCTAAGTCCTACTGAGAAAAACTATGCAGCACACAAATTAGAGTTCTTAGCTTTGAAATGGTCCATTTGTGAAAAATTTCATGACTATCTTTATGGACATAAATTTACAGTATTGACGGACAACAATCCTCTGACATACGTACTGACAACAGCGAGACTTGACGCTGCAGGACATAGGTGGCTAGCAGCTTTATCTGTTTATGATTTCAATATTATTTACAGGCCTGGAAATCAGAACCAAGATGCAGATGCTCTATCAAGAAGACCTACTAATAATGATTTTGAATCCATTTCTACAGATTCCATCAAAGCAGTTTGTAAAGCAGTTCATGCAGAGCCACTTGTAACATCTTTGTCTTTAGATACCTCAATTTTTGATCAAAATTTTTCTCAACAGGATGTTATCGACCAGCAGATTGATTGGTACAATGTTCAGAGAAATGATCCAACTCTTAAATCATGGATCCATTATGTAAAGCTGAAAAAGAAACCTAGACTTGAGGATTTGCCATTTCAGCCTGACTCACAAGCATTAGTTAGGAATTTCAACAAACTTAGACTAATCAATAATATTCTTTACAGGGAAACAACTTTATTCGACAACTCTAATCAGCAATTGGTAATACCAAGAAAATTCAAAGACAAAGTTTTGATGGAATTACATAACAAATTTGGACATCCGGGAAGAGAAAGAACATCTTCTTTAGTCAAAGACAGATTTTATTGGGTAGGAATGCACCAAGACATTGAAAACTGGATAAAGAACTGTAACAGATGTGTGCATAGGAAAGCAACAAATCAAAAAGCACCACTGGTTAACATCAATTCATCTTATCCACTAGAACTGGTCTGCATGGATTTTTTGACATTAGAGATGAGTAAAGGAGGATATCAACATGTGCTCGTCATAACAGACCACTTCACTCGTTTTGCGCATGCCGTTCCAACTCGCAACATGACTGCAAAGACAACAGCAGAGGCATTGTACAACAATTTCATCACTTACTAAGGAATTCCAACTAGAATACACTCAGACCAGGGAGCTAATTTTGAGAGCCAAATCATAAAAGAATTATGCCAGATCACAGGAATGAAAAAGTCGAGGACAACTCCTTACCATGCTATGGGTAACGGACAATGTGAGAGATATAATAGAACTTTACTCAACATGCTAGGAACCCTGAAACCATCACAGAAACAGAACTGGAAGCTGTACATTAACCCATTAGTACATGCATACAACTGCATCAAGAATGAGTCAACAGGAGTTTCCCCATATTTCCTTATGTTTGGACGTGAACCAAAATTACCTATAGACATAGAGTTTGGCTTGAAGAAAGAAGAAAAGAAATCAGTATCTAAGTACATCAGTAACTTGAAAGAAAACATGAAAGCAGCCTATGAACTAGTAAGCAAGATAACAAAGAAATCGCAGGAAAGACAGAAAGAAAGTTATGATAGGAAAACTACAAATGCAGAAATACAGATAGGAGACAGAGTATTAGTAAAGATTGTAGCGTTTGATGGGAAACACAAAATAGCAGATAAGTGGGAAGAAGAACCTTACCTAGTTATTGACCAACCAAACTTAGAAATTCCAGTTTATAAAGTACAAAAAGAAACATCAAAAGGAAAAACCCGGACATTACACAGAAACCTACTACTCCCTATTGGACATCTAGATTCATATGAAGCCAATTTAGAAGAATCATCTACATCACTTTCCAAACCTACTCCTAAACCCAGGACAAGGCAAACGTGGAAAAAACAAGAACAGGTTCAAGAGAAAACACCAGAGACTAAAGAATTAGAAGATGAAAGAGATGTAAGTTCTGATGAAGAGTCAGTAATAGAATTTATCCCAGTACCGGTACCAAGGATTCCTGAGGTTAACGTCCCAGAAGATGTTGGTAAGCACTCAGGAAAGCAGAGAGTACAGAGATCAAAAGACCAGACAGTACAGAGCCCTAGAGAGCAGAGAGTACAGAGCCCTATAGAGCAGACTGTACAGAGCCCTAGAGAGCAGACTGTGGACCAGAGAGAACAGAGACAGGAAAGAAAAGCAGAGGAAGAAATACAGCATCATGATGCAGAGGAGAATGCAACACAACAACAGCCAGTCCAGATAGAGGCAGAGCAACAGCAAGAACATGCTGTAGCTGATACAAGTCCCAGATCTGAAGATAAAGAACAAGAACCTGAACCAATGTTACCGAGGAGGAGTACTAGGGAGAGAAGGAAACCAGATTGGTTAAACCCCCAGGAATATGTCTTAGCGCAGCAACAGCATCAAGATGAATGGATGAAGAAATGCGATTATCTACATCGTTTGAAAGCAGCATCAGAAATGAAGTCATATGAGAATGACATAGTTCAAACCATGCTGGATATTTTAAAGAAAAGCTAATCTGATTTTAATTGTACATATTTATTTTTATTTCAGATATTCCAGTAAACGAGAAGAATAGCAGGAATAGAACAGAATACAGTCAGTAAGTCCATTAGAGAAATGACGGGGACGTCATTTTCTAATGGGGGGGAGTTTGTAGTAGAGGTACTTTTATTAAGAATTATAAAAGTTGAAATGATTTTAAATGAAATAAAATAAATATTAGATATAAATTAAATAAATTAAATAAACTATTAAATATGTTATAAATGCATAAATGATAAGTTTTCTATTAAAGTTTCATTCTGTTCATTCTGTACTAACATGGGTATTTAGTGACATAGATATACACCCCTTTTGGATCCACACCTGTACATATACTTTTACATGACCACACACATATCTATTGGTCAGATTTTGAAATGGTTAGATTTCATTGGTTGAAAGTTTAGTCTTTGTGGGGTACTGAGTTTTATTCAGAATTAGCTCAAGATTTCAAATGGATAAGACATAATTTATATAAGCTGCTGACTTTATTTATTCAAAGACCTAAGACAGTTCCTGAAAATGTAAGTTTTACCTTTTTTTTTATGCCTTAAGATATGTTTTCCATAACTTATGTGAAATAGGTGGAAAACAGAATATTTTACTTTTAAATGTTAACATATTGAATTATCTGTCTGTATAATCAGATGTAGATAAATCTGATGGAGTTTTCTCATTAATTAATTTGTATATATACCTAGAAATATTTTGATGTGAATATTTTGATAGTCAAACTAATTTGAATATCTATTGATTATGAGAAAGGTATTTGTAAAGAACAAATCCTGATTATTTTATTTATTGTACATAGGTAACACCATAAGTAAAGAATTAAATTATTGCTTTGGAGAAAGTTCAATTCCATAAATTGGTATGTCTATCTGTATATATATTTTTTATGATTTGTACAGAAACATAAAAGAAAGATAACTCTTCACAAGACTGTTAAGAGTAATTATGTTGTAAGAGTTAACTCCCTTATATAGAATTTCTCTATTTTATCATATCGAGTGAAATTGATAAATATGATAAATAATTGTTAAAAGGGAAGACAGATAATTTGTTATATTTTTATGATCAGAATATTAGATAATTGATATATTGTTTGTACATATTTTTATGACGCAATTTGTATATTGCAGGACATATCCATTATCCATTTTCCATTATTCCATATATTCCATTAGTCCATTTTCCATTATCCATTTATCATCAACTAGACATGTCACCATAATAAAATGTAAAATTTAAAAAAAGTTACAAGTGTGTTTTCCATCATTGCCGGGAATACCCGCTACATATATATATATATATATATATATATATATATATATATATATATATATATATATATATATATATATATATATATATATATATATATATCAACGAGTACCCGGTTAACCGGGTACTCGATCGAACGTACGAGTATCGAATACTAAAAATGGTACTCGGTTACTCGGATGTGTATTTTTTCTTATTTCAAAGTACATATTTTTATCAAAAACGTATCAAAAAATAACTTAAATATGCATACGGTAATTAGCGTGTCGTCATCTGGTAATCACCTGGTACACAACTGTTCGCACCTGTCGTGGTCCTTAATTTTTGGATGGCTTCAATGATTGTTTTCAGTGAACATCATTTATATCGGAAAAACGTCCGAATAACCGACTATCATAAATTGACCGAATTGACATCCCTAATATATATATATATATATATATATATATATATATATATATATATATATATATATATATATATATATATATATATATATATATATATATATAAAGCACTAAAAACCAACAACACTGTATATCCTAAGTGTCGGATCTACTAAGTAGATACAAGGTCACGGATGGAAATTTATATAAAGCACTAAAAATGACCAACGACACGAACAATAATAATTGTCAAATTTTCGGGACGACCTGTACCTTCCTCAGGACAAAGAAAAAGTTAAGTAGTCATAAAAACAAAGGAAATAGAGAAGCAAAAACAACTAGCACTACTACTAAACTACCAAACACTAAATATTTACAATGTTACATGTTTAATTTGGAGTTTATAAACAGTTGTGAACAAAGAAATCCGGAGCGCTATGAATTGCGTCCGGTCTATCGGGTGTACTCTGGTGAAGTGTGATTTACATAATTGAACGAATTAATTATCGCTAATTAATTACGACCAACAGTAAATCGTACATTGTCTTATTCTCTCAAAATAGCGCAACTCTACATGATAAAAAGAAATTAAAGAAAGATAATATGGAAGGACAATTTTGAAATATGAATTTGGATATATTATAAATTTGGAAATCGGAATAAAAAGAAATAAACAAAAATGTAAGCTGTAAATATTTGGGTAGGTTGTTCCAGGATTGCTAATACGAATTAACGGTAAAGTTTACACTATATAGAGAGAATGAACTTGTTTGTTACAATCCGGGATTGGGTCTAGTTCACGTTCATCCTGGTGAAGTCATTAAGTTTGTTAATACCATTAGGGCGGAATGACTTCAGCCTGTGCATCCAGAACTTTTCCTTGCCTTTTCTCTGAGCGTCTGTCCATCTTGGATTATGGTCAATAACCACTACTGTCATGTCCTCCCATTTGTGACCTTCAAGGTTGAAATGTTCCCCAACGGGTTCATTGAGTTTTTTGGTCCTAATGGTAGAACGGTGATTATTGACTCTCCTGCGGAGATCTCCTGTTTCACCAACATACTGTTTGGAGCAAACTTTGCAACTGATGAGATAAATGCAATTGTCTGTTTGACAGGACAAATTCCCTAGTATTTTGTAGCTGCGGCCTGTAACGGGGCTGTTAAAACTGTCTGTGTCAGAGCTGTACTTACAGAGAAGACATCTTCTGTCAGAGCAAGTTTTAAAGCCCCCGTTAGGTAATGGATTGTCCAATCTGGTTCTTACTACCATATCCTTTAGGTTCCTCGGGCGTCTGTATGCAGCCAATGGGGGCTCCTTAAAGACCTCTGCCATTCGTTTATTTGAGTGGAGAATTGGCAGATTCTTTTGAAGGATACCGCTGAGGTTCTTAAGGACAGGATGGTATGTGGTTACCAGAGGGACCCTGCCGCTATTGTCTTTTTCCTTGTAGCGTAATAGGTTTTGCCTGTCATGTCCCGCCATCTCATCAATAGCAGTTTGTACGGTGCGGGCATTGTAGCCTCTCTTGCATAAGTGGGACTTAAGGAGACCGCTTTGTTCTTGATATAAGGCAGGGGATGAACAGATGCGCCGAATTCTGGTGGCTAGACCCTTAGGCACACCCTTAAATGTGTGTGAAGGATGACAGCTAGTTGGCATAAGATACAGATGGGAATCTGTGGGTTTCGTGTGGAGACTGAACTCGATTTCACCATCAGTCAGGGTAGATGTAGTATCTAGGAATATGTTTTTCGAATTAGATACGTCTACTGTAAATTTGATAGACTGATGAAAGGTGTTGGCAAACGAAATGAATGCCTCGAGGCTCTCGCGACATTCCACCCACTTTATCTCTATATCGTCAATGATACGCAACCAGCTAAGGGGCCTAAATGGTGCTTGAAGTAGCAAGTTGCGTTCCAGTCTGCCCATGAAAATATTGGCATAAGATGGTGCCATTTTCGTACCCATAGCAGTGCCATTAACCTGCAGGTAATGTTCTCCATTAAACATGAAGTTGTTATACTTGAGAACATGTTCAACTCTCAGACGAACGTTTCTATAAGAAACTGGACTCTAACCCTACTAAAGAATTCTCCACCGCCATCACCAAAACTCTTGACGAAATGTTTGAGAAAAACGAGATTGGTATCAACGTCTATGAGACACTCAATCCTATTGACTGTAGACCAGGACAATTTTATCTGCTTCCTAAGATACACAAAGAAGGTATGCCAGGTCGCCCTATAGTTAGCGCTATTGGACACCCCACGGAGAAAATTTCTGAATACATCGATTTACATCTCCGTCCACACGTAGAGAATTTGCCATCCTATCTCAAGGACACCACGGACTACATTAACAAGACACCCTCTACTGGCCTTCCAGATCATACCCTTCTCGTGACTATGGACGTCACATCTTTGTACACCAATATTCCGCACGATGAGGGTATCGAAGCCTGTAGAGAAGTCTGGGATAGTAGATCCATACAAATTCCTTCTACCGAGTCCCTTGCCAAGCTCCTTGAACATGTTCTCAAGTATAACAACTTCATGTTTAATGGAGAACATTATCTGCAGGTTAATGGCACTGCTATGGGTACGAAAATGGCACCATCTTATGCCAATATTTTCATGGGCAGACTGGAACGCAACTTGCTACTTCAAGCACCATTTAGGCCCCTTAGCTGGTTGCGTATCATTGACGATATAGAGATAAAGTGAGTGGAATGTCGCGAGAGCCTCGAGGCATTCATTTCGTTTGCCAACACCTTTCATCAGTCTATCAAATTTACAGTAGACGTATCTAATTCGAAAAACATATTCCTAGATACTACATCTACCCTGACTGATGGTGAAATCGAGTTCAGTCTCCACACGAAACCCACAGATTCCCATCTGTATCTTATGCCAACTAGCTGTCATCCCTCACACACATTTAAGGGTGTGCCTAAGGGTCTAGCCACCAGAATTCGGCGCATCTGTTCATCCCCTGCCTTATATCAAGAACAAAGCGGTCTCCTTAAGTCCCACTTATGCAAGAGAGGCTACAATGCCCGCACCGTACAAACTGCTATTGATGAGATGGCGGGACATGACAGGCAAAACCTATTACGCTACAAGGAAAAAGACAATAGCGGCAGGGTCCCTCTGGTAACCACATACCATCCTGTCCTTAAGAACCTCAGCGGTATCCTTCAAAAGAATCTGCCAATTCTCCACTCAAATAAACGAATGGCAGAGGTCTTTAAGGAGCCCCCATTGGCTGCATACAGACGCCCGAGGAACCTAAAGGACA